GTGTGTGTGTGTGTGTGTGTGTGTGTGTGTGTGTGTGTAGGTCTGAGGTAGACATCAGATGCCTTTTTTCCATTGCTCTCCAACTTTTTTGAGACAGGGTGTCTCACTGAGAAGCTCATCAGTTTGGCTAGGCTGGCTGGCCAATGAACTCAAGGATCCCCCTCATCTGTCTCTCTCCATCCACCAGCCCAAGGCTGGGGTTACAAGTGTGCTCCACTATGCCAAGCATTTTATGTAGGTTTGGGATCTGAATTCAGGTTCAAGTACCTTCATGGCAGACACTTTGCTGATCCAGCCATCTACTTTCTCCTCATGTATGAACTATTGACTTAGGGTGATAAAAATGTGTCAATACTCGGCAGTCAAGTGTAGCACGTGTACCACCCTGCTGGGGGATGTAGTAGTGAGGAAGGCTGTGCCTATGCCAGGACGGGGGAGCTGGGGATACTCGGTACCTTCTGCTAAGTTTGGCTGTGAATCTAAAAATGCTCTTAAAAAGAAAGGAAGGAAGGAAGGAAGGAAGGAAGGAAGGAAGGGAGGGAGGGAGGGAGGGAGGGAGGAAGGAAGGAAGGAAGGAAGGAAGGAAGGAAGGAAGGAAGGAAGGAAGGAAGAAGAAAGGAAGGAAGAAAAACAAAAACAAAAAAAGGTCTTCAGAGAAATCTACTGAAAGGTACTGTGTGCCAGGACAGTCTGCTTAAAAATGTGGTCTGTGCTTGGGGTGCTGATCAGTGAATTGTTTGTTACTGTTCTGCTGTGAGATAAGGAGCTTGTTCTAGATATCAATCAGTCTATTGTTTCCTGTTCTCATAAAGCCTTTCCAGAAAAAGACAAACGGGCTCAGCTGAGTAGGACAGTGCGTTTGTTCCTGTGGCTTTTGCATGTAGGAGACTTCGTCTGAGAAGATACAAAGAGGAGTCTGGCATCAGCTTGCTCACAGGCTGTGGTGACAGAGATGAGATGCTCCCATTTGTCTTGGGTCTCCCGAAGCCGAGCTCAGGACAGTGAGAGGCACTGAGCAAGGGGAGCTTCCAACAGGGAAACCATGGGCTGCTTCCTGGAAGCAGTGAAGGCGAAGGGGACTTGAAACGCTGGTTAACATTTTGACGATATGTAGGGGAGAAAAGGAATGGTATCTGAGGTAAATGCAGCCTAAGCAAACGTCTGAAAATGTGAAAACAGAGGTTGTGGTCAGAGACCAGGAGACAGTTTTAAATGGAAATGAGACAAATACTTTGAAGAGAAGTCAGGAAGGGTTTGAAGGCAGACTAGGTAGGGCTTAGATTCCATACTGTGAACTTTGTCTTCTGGTTGGAGGATAATAGGAACCAGAAAAATGACATGGTTCAGCTGTGATTTAAAATTAACCTTGCACCTCTAAGGGAAGCCATCCAAAGAGGAGGAACCTGGAGCGAGAGGCTCCTTAGGATGCTCCTTAACCAGTAAGAGCCCCACGTGAGGGACTGAAGTGGCTCCTAAGCCATGGGCAACATATGAAGCTGTGATGACGGAGGGAAGGCCGAGGATCTGAAAAGTGCTCAAGCGTGAACAAGGGAAAAGAAAGGGTGTCTGGAAGGATGACCACACAAAGCCCAGGGTGGAAAGGCTGCACGAAGAACCGGTTGGGTGGGAAGATAATGGTTTTGGCTTGGCTTGAGCTTGAGGTACTTGGCAAGACATCCAAGTAGAAATGTCCATAGAAAATGTAGGTCAACAACTCCAGAGAGGCATGAGCTCTGGGCAGCCAGCAGTGCGGAGATGCCCAGCAAGAGAAACTACAGGACAGAGGAAAAAAGCTGTTCACCCGGGGGAGAACCCTGGAGGTGCAGGGGTGGGGGGATGGAGTGGAAATCAGAGAATGGAGAAGAGCTGGTGAAAATGATTGACAGGCAAATGTTCAGGGATGAAGACCCCCCAAAGAACATGACCCCCACAGAGGGACAGGTGCAGACAACGGTGAGCCATGGTCATAGGCAGCAGATTAAGTAAGTACTGACTGTAATATTAGGGTCCCTAAGCTTAAGTCACCTAGGTTGTTTGAAAAGGCTCATGATGGGTTTTCCCAAAAGCAGGATTGAGGGAAACACATTCCCCTGTGGACCGTAGGTCAACACCAAGGAAGCAGGAGAGCAAGAGAAGACAGAGGCTGCAGGGTAGAGGAAGTAGTTGAGGCAACAAGTCTACAAAAAATGAGCTAAGAAGTTAAGGGTGGTGCAGAGATGTGACCCTAGAAGAGTGGTTCTCAACATGTGGGACATGACCCCTTTGGGGGGGTCAAACAACCCTTTCACAGGGATTGCATGTCAGATAACCTGCATATCAGATGTTTACATTATAATTTGTAACAGTAGCAAAATTACAGGTATGAAGTTGCAATGAAAATAATGTTATGGCTGGGGGGGGGGTCACCCCACCATGAGGAACTGTGTTAAAGGGTCACAGGGTTAGGAAGGCTGAGAACCCCTGCCCTAGAAAGAAGGAGGCGTGCTGCTTTCTGTGGTGCAGGAGGAAAATACAGATGTAAGGAGGGTGCACAGTCAGTTTCACAGCAAGGACAAAAAGCTGAAGACGTTCTTGGCAGGTGCTCGGCTCTCTTCTCAAGCAGGAAGTGAGGTCATCAGAAAGAGGGAGGGGGCAAGGTCGGAAATAAGGGAAAAGATTGACAGGCCTGCTGGGAGTGGAATGAAGAGTCTGCTATAAATGGGCAGACACACTTCTGAAGTCCATCAAAGGCCGGAGTCAAAAACACAACAAGAGTGTGCAGAGAAATCAGTTGGCAGGCTGCCCAAGTGAAAGCAGCAACTATATGGTGGGAACCTGAGTCAATCCGAGCAGCCACCTGTTTGTTTTATATTGTCACTGAAAGCGAAGAATTGGTCTGGACTGCGTTTGTTATTGTATTTCTAACACAACGGTGTATCTTCGCGTGTGTGTTTACAAGTAGGTGTCAGCACAGATTCGCATGCTTACAGGTTGCTCTTGTATGCACACGGGGCCAGTGACCCACCTTGGGTTGTTCTCAGGTGTCACCCACCTTGTCTTCTGACCTGGGGTTTCTTACTGGGACCTGGGCCTTTTTTGGCCAGGCTAGGCCACCTCCAGGGAATCTCCTGTTCCCACTTCCAAGTGTGTTATGTACCACCAGGCCGAGCTTCTTACACGGCCAATGGACGGCAGGGGTAGGAGGCTGCTGATCACAGTGCGTCTAACGTTGGGAAGCAGAGAGACGAAGGAATAAGATAAAATCATGACTCATTTCAATGTTACGGGAACACATACTTGATGGCTATACCTTTTAAAAATTCACACTTTTACAGAGAACAGCCCCCTTAAGGAGCCAGGGGACAATGACTTGCTATTGCTGTTGATTGTATGCCGTGGTCCTTGTACTACAGGAGGAGTAAATGATATGATGACTGACAGGGAGCTTCAGTAAGCGATGCTAAGACAGGTCCCAGAGCATATGGACCTCTTCTGACCACCAACTTGGGCTCCAGGGCCTTATTTTGGCCTTGTGGCCTTCTCTAGGTCACCAAGTAGTTTAGGGCACTTCTGGATACTCTTCCCTCACTCCTTGACTTCGTGTCAGACTTTTATGGAGTCCAGTGGGGCTTTCAACCATTTCCGGCTTTTCTTCTTCTTAGGAAGACTCAGAGAGCCTTCCGTCATTTCCCTCATCATGGATTCTCTGAGGACCTGGATTGACACAGATGTTTTATACCAGAGCCCAGATGTTAGAAAGGGGTGGAGGTGGGTGTCAGGCGTGGGTTTCCGTAGCAACTCACATTCTTCACAGTGAGGCTTTCTCTGAGATCCTAAACTAGAGCAGGACAAAACTGCAAGCCTCAGGGAAGGGTTCCTCGAGGGCCAGGACTCCGGAGAGGCCCTTCCTTAGCCCTCGTGTGGGAATCTGACTCCTCTGTGTGACCTTCAGAAGCCAGGCACTCCCGCTTTCTTTCAGGTCTACAGGCATGCCTGAAGCCTCCAATGTTCCCTCGCTGCAGTTGACCGGATGTGGTTCCCACTTCCGAGTTGTCCTCCATACTTCAGGCCAAACCCCAGGGAGGGATGGCCAGGAGACACTAAAGTTTGTTTATGTGTCTAGACTGGATGCCTCGTGGTCATCATGGTGCCACTGATGTCACGGTCATCATTATCACTGTCGTCATCACGGCCCTCTTCCTCGTGGTAAGTAGACCTTGCCCAGCTTCATAATTAGGAAGTGGCAGGGTTGAGACACATAGTCAGCTCTGTCTGACTCAGCAATGCATGCTGGGATCTCCAAACACCCTCCTTGAGGGCACGTCTTACCCTTAGGTGACGACTCTGGTTTCTTCACTTTATCCTTTGTGAGATGTGGGGCCTGGCCCTTCCACAGCTCCAGTTCTATACTCGCAACATGATGCTAGCAGCCTTTTTTCTTTCTTTCTTTCTTTCTTTCTTTCTTTCTTTCTTTCTTTCTTTCTTTCTTTCTTTCTTTCTTTCTTTCTTTCTTCCTTCCTTCCTTCCTTCCT